TCACTGATGTTTCTCTCTCTCTCTCCTTCTCCCTTTCTCTCTGAGAACAAGAAAAATTTATTTTTAAAAAGAATATACTTGTCAGTTGAGGGACTGAAACTTCGGGTTAACTCCTCTATCTACCTCCCCAAACTTCAGTTTCCTTACAAGTTTGTCATGAGGATCAAACAAGGCAGGGAAGGGGCAGAGCATGTGAAGTGTGCCAGGCGCACACACAGAGGGAATATTCATTCTCAGAGCACAAGGCTCATCCTGGGCTCTGCTGAATCCTGCCCCCGCTTCCCAAGACTGAGGAGGCTATGGAAACCAAGCCAAGCAGGAGCATGACTTCAGATGGGGAACCATGAAATGGCAATTACAGAGTAAAGCTTAATTACAGTTCTTTGGGGGGAAAAGAAGTGAGGGATGCAACCGGGTGGACAGAAGGGTGGAGACTGGGAGTGAGGGTCACGGGGAAGGGAAGAGAAAGAGGGAGGCCCAAGAGGGAAAAGCTGAGCCATTGGAAAGGAGTCTCCCTTCACCCCCTAAAAAAAAATGTTAACGACATTTTTTATTTATTTTTTCATTGTTGCTTTGATTACAAAAGTACAGTGTGTTCACTTTATAAAGTTTAAAAAATACATAGCCCGAGGAGATTATGCTAAGTAAAATAAGTCAGATAGAGAAAGACAACTATAAGATTTCACTGAAAGGAGAATATAAAAACAAACGTAGATACGGAGAACAGGTAAGGTGGTTACAACAGGCATCCTTTGTCCTTTAGTTTTGTTTTGGAATTTTCTGATTGCATCCTACGGTGTCATTTCACACGTGCCTCTGTCCTATAAACTAGTAGCTTTTAAAAATGCGCATGTCCAGACCCCACCCTGAAAATGTATTCAGTAGGACTGGTGTGGGTGCCGGGAATCTCTGACTTTCCTCAGATCTCTAGGTGAGTCTGAGACTGTTTGCCTCATATTTGGGAACTGCCAACCCATCTGACGCTGCCAGTAGCCACAAGTCAGCCTTGGTCACAGTAAGCATCAGAGACAGACACTAAGTTTCTAATCTCCAGTGCTGGGCGGCGGGCGTGCTCACTGCAGGAAGAGGCATTAGCTGTGTTTCATGGGTTAACCGAGACTCACAGTGGGAACTCTCTGGGAGCCCCAGTGAGCCTGTCTCTTTCCTCTAACCCAGGTTAGGGAAATTTCTTTTATTTAAAAAAAAAATATTTGATTTTGTAGAGAGAGAGAGGGAAAGGGGGAGAGAGAGAAACATCCATGTGAGAGCACAACATTGATCTGCTGCCTCCTGAACACTTCCTAGCAGGGATCTATCCCACAACCCAGGCACGTACCCTTGACCTGGGAATCAAACCTGCAACCTCCCGGAGCATAGGATGGTGCCCAACCAGCTGAGCAATGCTGGTGAGGGCTAGGGAAAACTTAAGAGATCAGGACCTGCCTGGCCTTGAAGGTATGTTTTGGGGGATAAGCAACAACAATCTTGCTGTTATGGCCCCTGAGGACAAGTGTGCTGCCCCCTGGGTGGGTGACTTCACTTGGGCCGGAGGGCCACAGCTGCTGAGGCAGGTGGGCCTGGGACACAGGCCCAAAGTCTGTGCTCTTTCTTGTCTGCTGTTACCCCTCCCCCCACTCCCCAGCACCAACTGTCCCCTTAACTGCTGAGACGTCCCACTGGTAACAGCCAGCACCTCATGCCATGCACAGCAGTCAGAGTGATCTTCCCATCGTCCTCATCAGATCACTTTACGACCCTGTTCTAGTCCACCCATGTCTCCCATCACACTTGAGAACCACACTCCTGCCCTGGCTGGTTTGGCTCAATGGACTGAGCATCGGCCTGCAAACTGAAGGGTCACGGGTTGGATTCCAGCCAAGGGCACATGCCAAGGTTGCAGGCTTGATCCCCAGTAGGGGGCGTGCAGGAGGCAACCAATCAATGACCCTCTCTCATCATTGATGTTTCTCTCTCTCTTCCCTCTCTGAAATCAATAAAAATATACTAAAAAAAGAACAACAAAACCATACTCCTCACCATGGTTGACAAAGCTCACTGTAGTCTGGTCCATACCCACTTCTCCCATCACATCTTCATTCTTTTCTTTCCTCCCTGGCCTCCCTGGCTTTTCTGGTGGCCCTAGAATAGGTGGCCTCATTCCTATCTCAAGGTCTTTGCATTTGCCACATCGTCCTCCAGGAATACTCTTCCTCCAGCTGCCACACGACCCGCCATTCACATCTCCACTGAAAATCCACCTCAAAGAAGGTGACCACTTTGTGTACCGCAGCACCCTCTCATCACACTCTATCCTCTTTTCCTATTTCTTGATAGCAATTATCATTATTTGAAAGTATATTGTTGACTTGTTTGTCTCTTTTTATTTTATTTTATTGATTTTTTACAGAGAGGAAGGGAGAGAGATAGAGAGTTAGAAACATCGATGAGAGAGAAACATCAATAAGCTGCCTCCTGCACATCTCCCACTGGGGATGTGCCCGCAACCCAGGTACATGCCCTTGACCGGAATCGAACCTGGGACCTTTCAGTCCGCAGGCTGACTCTCCATCCACTGAGCCAAACCGGTTTCGGCGACTTGTTTGTCTCTTTTGTTTGTGGATGTCTTGAGGAGAGTGGCTTCAATCATCTCAGTCACCAAAATATCCCAAGGGACAAACCTCTACACAACACACACACACACACACACACACACACGGAAGTACTCATCAGTTTCCATCTGAGTCCAGGCTCAATTTGCACGTGTGTCATTGCAGGAGCCACATAGAAGCTGCACCCAAGGGTCCTTTTTGGAGGCAGAAGGTCTTGCAGGACCAGGTACCCCACATGGGAATGTACTTCAAGGGAACAGAGAGGTTCAGGGCTTCGCATTGGACAACTGGATTTCAAGTAAAACACTGGCTTTTATAGAAAATTATTTTATTGATCAGTAAGGGACCCCACTGAGGACAGAGAGGTAGTAAAAAAGCAGATGAGCCATGGAAGGAAGGGGTTGGTGCTAAACACACACTTCCTGAAAGGTTAACACCTGGTGGTATGCGGGCAGGCAAAATAGCCATCTCAGACGATGGATAAAGAAACACTGAATTTATTTAAGGAAAGGCCTGCACAGCACTGAACCAAGAGGCCTCTGGGTCGATGGTGGCAGCACCAGGAGCTGGAGTTTCATCCCTACCTGGTATATGCAGTCACTGGCAGGAAGCTCTTGTCCTCAGTCAGTGGGTCTTGGGGCTGAGTTGATGGCTTAGAATCCGGATGGAATGCGGATGTGTGATCAAGCGTTTTTAGGCCAGTTTTAACCCTTTAGATGGTGTCCAGCAAGTTTTCCTGGTCTTGGTCCTCCTGTGGCAGGAAGCTTGGACAAGTCTTCAAAAGGAATGAAAATTTTACATGGAAGTCAGATTACAGTGTCCACAAATAAAGTTTCATTGGCCAGCTGCTCACCCAAGGGTCATGGTTCAATTCCCAGTCAAGGGCACATGCGAGGTAGTAAAAAAGCAGATGAGCCATGGAAGGAAGGGGTTGGTGCTAAACACACACTTCCTGAAAGGTTAACACCTGGTGGTATGCGGGCAGGCAAAATAGCCATCTCAGACGATGGATAAAGAAACACTGAATTTATTTAAGGAAAGGCCTGCACAGCACTGAACCAAGAGGCCTCTGGGTCGATGGTGGCAGCACCAGGAGCTGGAGTTTCATCCCTACCTGGTATATGCAGTCACTGGCAGGAAGCTCTTGTCGTCAGTCAGTGGGTCTTGGGGCTGAGTTGATGGCTTAGAATCCGGATGGAATGCGGATGTGTGATCAAGCGTTTTTTAGGCCAGTTTTAACCCTTTAGATGGTGTCCAGCAAGTTTTCCTGGTCTTGGTCCTCCTGTGGCAGGAAGCTTGGACAAGTCTTCCTGGTCACTGTTCTCCTGTGGTGATAAGCTTACAGAGGGCCGTGAAGGATTACGTTGTCCTATAGTCCTAACACTTTCCAGGAAGCAGGACTTCCTAAGTCTCCCTATTCCGTTCCTGGGACCCCAGACTGAAGGTTCCCTGGGGCATCACAGGCTGCTTCTTTCAGTTTAAAGAAGCCTCCCAGTTTGTGCTGGTGGCCGCTGGCAGTGACTCAGGGCAGGAGCCCATCTGGTAGACGGGGTGGGCTCCTGCCAAGGCCACGCTGCATCCCCTCTTTGCTCCTGGATCCTACTGGGCTCACAGAAGGCAGACTTCTCTTTCTTCTGCCCAACAAGGGATTCTAGAGGGTTGAGCAGAGGACCATCAGGTTTTCTGCAGGGTCCGCTTCAGCCCTGGGATGCTCAGAGCAGCCTCCCATTGGAAACCTCCGTTTCTGAGGCTCCTTGCCCTTGTCTGTTTAGGATGGAAGAGAGCTCCTGGCTGAGGAAGGCACAGACAGAATGGCTCGGGTTGTAATCACCAGTGGTGGGCAGTGGGGGTTGGAGGATTAATACTAGGTATAACGGTTAATAATGCGGATTTTTTTTTCAATAGGTGGAATTACACATATGTTGATATATATGCAATTTGATATGTATGCTATTTTGTTGTATTGACAACAAGCTTCAAAACTTCATATGTCAAATTTTCTGAAGGTGTTAACATCATAGATATTTTTACACTTAAAAATGTCAAATTTCCTGCCAAAAAAAGACCATTTGCGGGAAGTTTTAATTCATTACTGTATTTTGAAGTGAAGTGCTGCTGAATACTTTGGGAAGCTTCTGGTGAACATACTCGATGTCAAAATCCTTGAGAACGCTGGCTTAAACGTTTTGAAAGTGATGATTTCGATGTGAAAGACAAAGAACATCCACGTCAATTGAAAAAGTTTGAAGACCAACAATGACAAGCATTATTGGATGAAGATGCATGTGAAACGCAAAAACAACTTGCAGAAGGATTAAACGTTGCTCAGCAAACAATTGCAGGCATTCGCTGTCTTAGGCCATTAAACATTTGTCCTCTCCACAGAGTGCCTCAGCCAGCAAGCTTCTGTGGGGTCAGCCTCTAGCCACCCTGCTCCAGTCGTCGAATTTTGGGGCTGGAGCAACCAAGGTCTTCATCCAACACTTCTACAGGGTATCGTCGCTTCAGTGCTCGTCTGGGGACTGGCTTCTCTGCCTCCACCTTTGTTGGGGTCAGCTTCTGTGGGGACAGCCTCTTGCTATCATGGTCCAGTCGTGGAATTTTTGGGCTGGGGCAACCGAGGTCTTTGTTTGACCATTCCACAGGACGATGCCTCTTATGTGCTCTTCTGGGGACTGGCTTCTCTGCCTCCACCTTTGCTGGGGTGGCCAAAGGAGCATCCCCATAGGACCGGTAGCCACCGACCAGGCAGTATGTCTCTCCATGCCAGCCCACTTGGGTTTCGCCCCACCTTTGGTAGGGGACATGGTAGTGACCAGGTGTAGGAAGAAAGGTGGGAGCCATTGCTGCTGGAAAGAAAATCAGAACTGATCAGTTACTTGTGCTGCCAGGACATCCCCTCTCTCATGTCTCTCCC